GGGGCGGGGCACGGGGCGCAGAGGGGCGGGCCGGGGCGCCGCCGCCGCCGCTGGAAGCTCACCGCCGGCTTCCCCGCAGCCGACCCAGCGGACCCGGTGACGCTGTATGCCGTGGTGGACGGCGTGCCCCCGTCGCGCTGGAAGGAGTTCGTGCGGCGGCTGGGGCTGAGCGAGCACGAGATCGAGCGGCTGGAGCTGCAGAACGGGCGCTGCCTCCGGGAGGCGCACTACAGCATGCTGGCGGCCTGGCGGCGGCGCATGCCGCGGCGCGAAGCCACGCTGGAGCTGCTGGGCCGCGTGCTCCGCGACATGGACCTGCTCGGCTGCCTGGAGGACATCGAGGAGGCGCTGTGTGCCCCCGCCTCCGTCTCGCCGGCGCCCCGCCTCCTGCGATGAGGCCACGCCCCGCCCCGGCAGGGGCCTGCCCTGAGGACCGATGCCTTCTGGCGGGGCTGCCTGGAAAGACCGTGCAAAATGCCCTTCGGACCCTTTTTTCTGGACAGGGGCCTTGGAAGGGCAGGCATGGCTGTCAGCCACCTACTTGGTGCTACTCTCTCAGTGTACATAGATTTTCTCAGCTGCCGGAGCACTGCCAGAGGCTCAGCCTTGTGTGTGTGACAGGCGTCTGTGTGTGTGTGTGTGTGTGTGTGTGTGTGTGATCCTGAGAGTGGCTGAGTGTGCCAGGAGCCCAAGCTTGTGGCTGCAGAGACACGGCCCATTTTGGGTTTGGAGAACCAAACAAGGCAGCTTAGGGGCCTCTGGTTGGTCCCTGGGCCTTTTTCACAGTAGATAAGCAATTTTTGTATCAATTATGTTACACTAATAGAAACTGGGCACTCCTCTGCCCGCTGTTTGGACAAGCACAGAGTGAGCTGACCTGTCCGAAGGCAGGGGTGAGCACAGAACAATGGGGCCGCCAGCTGGAGCTGTGGACTTTTGTAAATACACTAAAACTCTGGAATTAAAGCTCTGCTCCTGGAGGGGGTGGTCCTTCTGAGTGGTGGGTGTGGGAGGCCGGGGCAGAGACCCGCTCCTGATGGGGTGGGATGGGAAAAGCCCTGAGCTTGGGCCAGACGTCCCACCACCATGATGCCGGTTGACAAAGGAGTAGCCTGTGAGCACGCCCCTCCCCATCAGGTTCTTTCTTCCCACCCTCATCTAGCCAGGCAGTCATTTTTATGCACGACTTTATGTGGGGCTCTGGTATGTCTATGGTACAAAAATGTACAGCACTTGATCCCAAAGCCCTCTGAGCAGGAGAGGCGGAGTGGCTTCTTAGTGGAAAGTGTGGTCTTTGAGGTAGAGTCCAGGGGTGGGGTGGTGACCGGCACTCTCGGGGAGAGATTTCCTCTAGGAGAAATGCCAAAGGTCCTGAGTGTCCCTCACACTTCTCTGAAAAGAAAGGAGCTGGGTGTTAGGTCAAGTCAGATGTGGGGTGAAGAGCGAGGCTAAGTGCCCTTCCTTGCCACGGCCCCTGCTCTGGTAGTGCCCTCCTTCTATACTGACTCCGCCCCACCCATATCCTACTCTGGCACCCCCTCCCACTCCATATGGGCCTTCTTTGCTCCCTCCCAGGCCACCTTCCCTTCAGCACTTACGATGTGGACAGGGGGGTGTCCAGCTGTATGATGTAGGGCCCACGCATCCTCTGCAGTTGGCCCCGGGTCAGCTTCCGAGTCTTGCCGTTCCCAGGCTCAGGGATGCCCTCGATCCTTTGGCTGGCCAGTTCTTCCCGGATCTCTCTGAGCATATCCTCAGCCCGGAGGGGGTGGGGGGAGAGGGTGCAGCCAGGTCCCAGGAAGAGGGACCCCTCTTCCTCATCCCCTGAGGACTCCCAGGGGCTTTCCCCAGCAGAGTCTGTGTGGGTCGGGGATGGGGGGAGCTGTCCCCGAAGTCGGGCCCGATGCAAGGTTTCCGCTACCACATTCCCTCCCACTGAGGTCCCATCTTCTTCCTCAGACCAGGTTGGTTGATCTCCCCTGGGAAGGCTGCTTCCTCTTTGGATAACTTCCCTTGGCAGTTCAGGGGTGCTTCGGCGTTGGGGAGCTTGGGGGTTAGGAGGCTGAGGGCGCAGAGGAACATCTCGGAGGTCCAGGGTGGAGAAGGTGAGACGAGGGTCACGTCGAAGGGCCTGTGGGCGCAGATGGCTCACATAGTGGGGCCCCTTGGGGGAGCCTGGGATCAGGGTGCTGTAGCCAGAGTCTGAGGTATCATCTGGTACCAACGGAGAGTCTTCATCTGTGTCTTCTGTCACCACCAGGTGTGGGATGATGGTCGAGAACTCAGGAGTCCTACAAGTAATAGTAATAGTAAATGGTCAGTCCCGTGCTGAAGGGTCAAGTTCAAGTCCAGGAAGTCTCATCCCATCCAGAAATGGCCCCTCCTCCAAACTTACTTCGGTATCGCCTTTACACCATATGATTATTTTCTCATCTTGCTGGCTAGACTGTAGTAAGCTCCTCTAAGGCATTTTAGCCACAGCGCTTGGGCCAGGACCTTGTATCAAGCAGGTGCTCAGGTATTTGCTGAAGGGTTCCTGAGCTCCCCTGAGGTTATCCCCCAGTGATGGATCTGTTTTCTCCTTAACCATGCTGCTGAACAGCTGTGTTACTGTGAATGAACCTTTTGCCCTCTCCAGGGATTTGGACTCAATGGATCCCTGCAGCTGGAACATTCTGCAAATCCATACTGGTTTTCCCTCTCCATCCCTGGGCCTGGGGAGCCTGCTCCTCTCAGGGAGCTTTCATTGCTTGCGTCTGTTTCCTTCATCCGGGCAACCGGAGGCTGGCTAACCCCCTAAGCTGTCCCATGTGGCCGTTTGCAGGGCTGGTGCCAAACCTGTTCTACTCCAACCCATACCTGGGTTCCTCGATCTATTCCCAATGCCCCCCAAAACTGTGTTGACATTTCTCTGCCTTGTGGGTTCCTCTTCTCTCTCTCTCCCTTCCCGCAGCTCCCCTACTTTGAGAGACTTGTGGTCCCTGTGGGTCTTACCTCCTTTCTGCGCTGCTCTGAGAGCCCTCCGGGGAAGGCGAGGAGGGCCTGGTGCCTGGGGACTCCTGGTCCTGGTCCCGATAGAGAGCCAGGAGCTCCCTCTTCTGCTGGACATACTCCTCTGCCTTCAGCTTTTGCAGGGTGACCTGGGATGGGCATACTTTCATTAAGAGCTCTCACTTATTGAGACTTACTGTATGCCAGACTGGTGCTAAGTGCTCTACAGACATTATTTCATTTAATCCTCACAGATTCTGAATATATTATGAAGTCTATGAGGCAGATATTATTTGTTATTCCTACTTTGCTACGGAAAAACTCAGGCTACGTAACTGCCAAGGTCATGAAGCAAAGGACGATGGGATGGAGCCAGGATCTGAACTCTCGAGCTGGCCCTGGGGGTGGGTGGGGTGAACAGAAGGCCCCTTTTCCTGCTTGCACAGGTCTTCCTGCTTCTCAAGCCCCCTTTGCAAGCCCTCTATCCAGTCTGTCCCCTCCTTCAGGAAGCCCTCCCTGATAGATGGTGATGGCAATGTAAATGTTCTGAAGGGTGCTGGGCCTCAAGTTGCTCCTGCCACCAGGGTGGACAGGGTCAGGCTTTTTCCTCTGCTGTCCTTCAGAGGTGAAAGCAAGACCATTGCAAGAGGAATAGAGAGAGGGTACACTATATTTTCTGTCTTCTTCCCTCAACATTTTCACAGAGGTACCCTGATAATCAAGTAGTGACATCTGAGAAGTGGCTTATAGGGCACCTCCACATGCATGTGGTCATATGATACATACCATCACCCTGCAGGGTGGACAGCATGGATATTAGCCCATTTTACAGATGAGGAAACAAGACCTAGAGAGACAAAGGCTTTTGCTCAAGGTCCCATGGGAAGAGCAGCAGAACTGGGACTGGGCCTTCTCTTTGAGTCCTGGTTCAGCAACTGCCCTGTTTTTGAAGGGCAGCCTTAAAGGGTAAAGAGTTGCTAAAGGACAACATTTGCCTGGGGAGGGGGAGGGAAGGCAGCAGAACCTGCAGAGAGGTTGAAGGCAGAGGCTGGGCAAAAGGGAGGTGCTGGTGGCAGCTGTGGGCAGCTCTGATATCAGTACTCGCTAGTATGGCCGTGTCATTGTTAAAATATTGGAGTGCTTGCATAACTGGTAAGCAAAGGGCTGCTATCTGAGCCTCCTGCCTCCCTTCCCTAGGGCTACCCCAGCCCTCAAGGTCCAGCAGCTAGAGGGATAACATGGCACAGCAGGGGACCTCTAGGACACCCCCCACCCCCAAGATGCTCCACTCTGAGTGGATGATGACCATGCCGTACTGATTGTTAAATATTTTGACTATCTCCCCAGCTTGAGGTGTATGAACCAGCAACTCCTGGACACTTGGACCTTCCCAAAGCCTCTCCAGAAACACAGCCAGTAGCTGGGTCAGGATAAGAGACATGTTGGAAAAATGGATGAACAGGGATAGGAAAATGGCATCAGGTTTATACTGCAAGTTTCCTTTCTCTGGGTCTCCAGTCCCTCAGTCTCATGAGGGACAAAGCAGTGCAAAGATTCTTAGCAGTCTCATAAGACTAGTTAGTTGGCCAGAGCAAGGGATGATGTTGCCTGGGGGTAGGAAACTGGCACACCAGGGCCAGGTCCTATGACCTCCTCCCTCCTCTCCAATGTGGGATGGAACAAGAAATAAGGACGGTGGGCGGAGTCATTCTTGGGGCCAGGGTGGAGCTGGAGCAGCCTGCTTGTCGGGCTGAGATGCCATGCCCTTGGCCCCACATGACCCAAGTTCAATTGAGTGTTTGGGAAGTCCAGGATAGGAATGGTGTGTGGAAGGAAAGAACTGGAAGGAAGGGGTTGGGGTAGTACAAGTATGTCCACTAAACGTGCCCCTGGCCCAACCGTAGGAAAAGGCAGGGAGGGAGGGGACTTCAGGCACCAGGGAATGGGGCTATTTGAGGTCCTCCAAGACACCCCAAAGCCTCTCCAGCAACACTGGGAGGATCTTCTCAGCTTGGGTAAGAGGAGAGACAAGTTGGGAAGGGAAGAGGAAATTGGTGCCTGAGCCAAAATGTGACCCCTCCACAAAGCCAAGAAGAGGAAGGGAGGGCTCCCCCAGCAGGATTCTTGTCCTTTGCTCTGGTGGAGAACACAGCCTTGACAGGAAACGCCTCTTCTTCCCGCTGCTGCCTCTGGGGTTGCTCCTCGATTCATCTGCTCCTCCCAAAGTTCCCCAAGTGGAATAACACGGATCTCTCAAGGTGCCCACGGACTCTGAACAGCAGCTGTGAGGCCTTTCCCCAGTCAGCTATACATAGCCCTGCCCTGGCGCCACTGACCACCGCTGTCTTTTAATGGTGACAATAACAAACATTTATGGAGCGCCCATTAAGTCCTGGGCCTTGTGCCAAGCAGCAACAATAATTGTCCCATCTCTCCTGCATGGTAGTGCCCACTATCACTGCAATTCCCCAGATGGTGACTGGGGTTGGAAAGATGACATAACTCCTGTAAGAACACAGATAACAGGTGAGAGCTGGGCTCCGGCTATTCCCTCAGCTGCCTGCTTCAGTCTCCCCTCCGGTCATTTTTGGACCTCTGTCTCTGACAGCTTTTTTTGTTCCCATCACTGGTTCCTTTTTCCTCTTCCCAGTCCCTAAGCATGGGCATTTCCCAGGTTTAGTCTGTCTTCCTTGGAGAAGCTCATTTTGTCCCCTGAAAGTTTAAGCTACCCAGGCTAGACCTGTGGGGAATAAATCTACACCTACATTTCTGTGAGGGGGAGAAAGCAACAGTCTCATCCCCGGGTGGTTGCTCTATCAAGGGGACCAACAGATATTCTATTGCTCCCATCAGTTTACAAAGACTGGTGGCAACTGAGAGCAGTTTTCTTTAAGAATTCGGTGTGAGACAATAGCAGGACAAACTAATTTCAGTTTCTTTGTTCTTTGTTTTGCTAAGCGAGGCCAGGGAGCTGGTGCACTGCTTGGTT